TATCTCGCGCATGCGTGATGCGACGACTACCGCTCTATTATAAAATTTATTTTGTCTTCTGTTGTTTTACATATTTTACTAATTTATTCATCAGCTGGTGTTTTGAGACATGCATGTCTCCAATGTCAATTTCACGACTATGGCTTTTTAGTCTGTGTTTGGCTAATGTTTAAATAATATATCAATATATTTTTTCATAATGTTTATATAGAGTGTACATTTAATTTTATTATTATTTAAAAGTCTTTATGTGCCTAGTTTAGAGTATTTTATATTGTTTGTCTCATTCCATATCTTTGTATATTTTTCACTTGATATGTTATATAATTTCTGTTTTTTAATAATGTCAATATTGTAGTTTTGATAATATTAGATAATGTAGCAAAGAGTATTTATAACAATTTTGTTTTACTTCCATTATAGCATCATATGCAAATTTTATTAAAGAATTATAAATCGTGTTTTGATAGTAGTTGATTGGTCTGAATTGTATCATTGATAATTTTTATTCTGCTACCATTGTTGCTGCATTTGTTAGTGATATTCAGTAAATCATGACAGAATTTCACATAAAATTGTTCAATGCATGTACAGTTCAACAGTGTTTATTTCCCATATCTGTAAAATGCAGTTTATGTTCAGTAGTATTCACTCGTGAAAATACGGTCACGGGGTACACTGCATTACTCGTGAAAATAACTTCCATACTTCACAAACATCAGGGCAATGCTAGGGAGTTATGTTATATAATATTGCACATACAACTATGCTATTATAATAGTTTTACAACTATAAACCGGTTTATACAACAGTCTGATATTTTACACACATTCTGAGCATCTTTACACATGAATATTGACTACAACATTTGTATGTAGTTTTGAAATCAATTAAATAAACATTTTGCAAGGAGTCACCAAATGATGGCAGTTATTTATAGGCCCCATTTTACCCCTCTTTTAGGTCAATGTTAATGTTACGTAATAGTTATGCAGGTAATGATACCCCTTTCCAAAGGAGTTTAACTTCACTATTTGTAAGTCTCTCTACACTAGTGAAACATGTTACTGTAAAATACTTTATTTTAGCTGGAATGAATTTTTGCTAAAAAGATGTTTTTGGTGTTTTGTATGGAATTTATTAACCCTGATTTTTGACGAGTTGAAGTAAAATATAGAAAAAATGATAAATTATCTGGATTTTATTTTCACTGAATCATCCCTTCAGCAAACATAAATTCCAAGCAAAAATAAAGTATTTTCACAGTACTAAGGCCAACATAAAGAGGCACAAAAACAGATAGAAACAAGCGAACAATTTTTTACTTGCTTATGTCTGATTTTTATTAATAAAAGTTCATCAATAAAGTTCTGAGGATCATGATAATATAAGCATACAATAAAACATTATCAATTCAGACTATCAGTCTTTCTATGAACAAATATTTGATTACAATAAGTGAATGACGAAATACAAATAATATTACGGTAGTCACTGGTAGAGGAGTGGTTGTTGCACTCTACTCATGATTGGTAGACCCAAATCCTACCTAGGGTTGAATACTTAAAAGGCTTGACTCCTACCCTGGTTGAGTGTATTACTGACTCACTAAAAAATGCAAGTTTAGGGGAACCTTGGTTAAGGTCCGCAGATGCTTGTGTTGACCGGACTTGGTTGCCTGGATAGTGCATCAAAATGCCATTCGACTGAGAGACGGTCGCACAGCCCTGTCATTTAGAACCAAAATTGAAGTGGTGTCTTTGGCAAAATGCATATGTCAGCACTTTTGAACATAAAAAAGGCAAGACCAAAAGACAGTGACATTCAATGTACAGAACTGTCAGTGGCCACCTATAGTAAAACCTATTTATAGTGGCCACCTATAATGAAACCTGTTTATAGTGGCCACTTACAGCCAACCTTTTGTATAGTGGCCACCTATAGTGATACCTGTTTATAGTGACCACCTACAGCCGACCATTTGTAGTGACCACTATAGTGATACCTGTTTACAGTGACCACCTACAGCCAACC